TAACAATTTTATTTATTTTTATTAGTCATAATTTTATACTATACTAACCAATATACTCAATCTATTACTTAAAACTATTACCACTTTGATAAAATATAAATCAGATCATTTTTTTAAAATTCTTTTTCCTAAATAAAATTCTATAACAAAAAATAATAAAATACATTTTAGTATTTCTACTAAGCAAAAAGAAAAGAGAATACAATCACCTGAATTCAAATTAAATAAATTTTATTCTAAGTGTCTAATAGAAGGTACCAGACTACTAAATATAGATTACATATATTTTATACTAAGCATATAGTAATTAACTATTTTAAGTCAAAAGTTCATATGTAACTTTACCAATAATCACACATCTTATAACATAGAAGCTTATTTATAACTTTACCAAATGCTTACACTTAAAATGCAAGCATAATCTTATTTATTAAGAATTTATCTACCATCAAATATTATATTAAATAATAGATGATATGCTTCTAATCTGATAATTATTATATTATCTTATTAATTCATCATCTTCTATTATCTGAAAAAGAGAATCAATATAATTAGAAATATCTTATATACAAAAGACTAAGAATAGGAGATTCATCCTTCAAATATAGCTATATTATCATATTATCAATGAGATCCCTTTCATGATTTTAAATAAAAATAATTTAATTTGTAAAATATAATATAATCCTATTATGCTTTGACAGTCTGGATGAAATTCTTTCTCTTAATAATATATAGATCATTCTACTACTAAAATGATAAGATAATAATAACTAAGTAAGTATACTATAATACCAGTATATCTTTCTAGTTTTTTTTAGTATTATGTCTCAACACCTATTATTTATACTAATATAATTTATTTATAAAAATTTTTAGGCTATTAATTTTATCATCTTCTATATTATTTAAAAAAAAATAAACATAATTAGAAATATTTTATATAAAAACTGGAAATAAGAGAATCATTCATTAAATATAGCTATATTATCATATTACTAATGAAATTTTTTTTATAATTTAAATAAAAATAATTTTATTTGTGAAATATAAAATAGTTCTATTATACTTTAACAGCTTGAATAGTATTCTTTCTCTTAACAATATTCAGATCACCTGCTACTAAAATAGCAAGATAAAAATAATTAAATAAATATATTTATATGATAATACTGGCAGGTCTTCTTTAAATATGCTAACTTTTCTCCAGTATTATATTCTAATATTTGTTATCTATTACCATTACAATTTATTGTAAAATCTTTAAAACAAGATTTAAAACTAGAATTTTCAGAATGCATATATAATCTCGTAAAAATACAAAAATAATCTTTCATATTAAAACTTTGTTAAAAATAAGTTAAAACTCAATAAAACTTATCCTATTTGTAAAAATTCTCTTTAGAATATAGTTTAATATTTGAAATATAAATAATATTTTGTTCTTAATTTTTTTATGTCAAAATATTACTAATACTTAATAAAACTTACTTATTTTATATTCAGAACTAAGGTTGTTTATCTAAACTCATTTCAGATTTGACAAAATATTTAAACTATAGTTTTGCTAATTTTTTATTAAGATTTTAATATAGTTTTGTATTTTTATAAACTTTGATATAATTAGATTTTTTAATAAGGTTTTAATATAATTTTACTAAATTTTACCTTTTTTTATTTAGACGAATTGTAAAACTTCTAAGTTTTATCTAACAATCTTATTCAGGATCAACTGACTAAAAAAATTATTATTTTTTTAAAAAAAAATGAAATAAAAAAATAGTAGTTAAAAAGTTTCAGTAAAAAAGAAAGAAAAGTATATAGACTTTATATTTTACATAGCAAATATATAATAAACACTTTAAAAGAAAATTTTTATAAACATATATAGAAGTCTTAAATAATAATTTAAATATGAATTCTAAAATATAATTGTTCATTTTATAAAGAAATATAACTTACAGCAGAAATTTACAGTAATTTAAATATAAATATTTTGTAATTTAGTTTATATTATAATTCTAAAACTAGTAATTTATCTTAAAAAATTATATAAAAATTTTGTTGATCTGTTAACTAAAAAAGAAATTTATATAATGATAAATCTATCTAAGATTTCTATAATAAATATTTTTAAAAGTTTCACTTTATAAATATATACATTAAATTAGATATTATTTATAATTATAATATATTATATTATTAATATTAATAATATACAACTTAAAAAATAAATTTTTTTTAAAAACAATAAGTCAGAATATCTAAAAATAGAAACTTTTCAAAATATTATTTATAATTATAATATGCAGTATTATATCATTAGTATTAATATTATAATTTAAAAAAATTTTTTTTTTAAAAAATAATAGATAAATGAAAAAATATATAAGAAATAAATTTCCTTAATTATAATATATTTTTTTAATTAAAAAATTATTTTTCATAAATATAGAATATTTGTAATAAATTTACCTTTTATAATTAAATTCTAAAAATAAATCTCCTTTTATTTTTATATTCATATTAAACATTTTAAAACCTTCTTTTACTTTATAATTTATAATTGTAGTATATAATATTATTCTTTTTTAAAAAATTTAATTATTGGTATTAATAATATACAATTTAAAAAAATTTTTTTAGAAATAATAAATAAATCTAAATAAAATTAACCCAGTAAACTTTAATAGTTTAGGTTAAATAATTTTCCTTTTATTTCTTTTGTAATCATAAGAAATAAATTTTCACAATTTTAAATATTTTAAGATATTCTTTTATTTACTATTTTTTTAATAAAAAAAGTTTTTTTAGAAATAATTATATCTAAATATGTTAGAATATCTGAACAGATCTATTAAATAAAATAATTCTAAAAAAAATTTTTCAGAAACAATATGTTAAAATATCTATAAATAGATTTACTATTTTATAATTAAACAAGATAACTTAAAAATAAACTTTTTTATTTTTTGTAATTATAAAAAAAATATGCTACAATTTTAAATATTCTAAAACTTTCTTTGCTTTACAATTCACTATTGTAGTTCTGAAGTTATTATAGTAAAAATACAAAATATTTATTAACTGCACTGCATGCTGAAACTGCTTTAGTTCTATTAACTCTAATCATTTTATATCAGAATCATTAAGGAAATGCTGAATTTTCTAAATGGATTTTGATAAGAAGGAGAAGGTCTAAAAGTATGATTATCAGATATCAGTTATGATTAATGAAATAATATAAATTAACTAAATCTTACAATTACCTTAAATAAAAATTATGATATGAAAAACTATTTCATTATTATATAAAAACTGATTACTCAGCCATCTGATTATGCATAATATAAGTTTAATTTTATAATATTTCTTCTTACTATTTCCTAAGAACTTAACCTATAATTATTTAACATGCTTTATTAATAGATTTTTTCTTTATAAATAATTTACATGCAATTATGCTTTGTAAAATTCATAACTAAAATATATATAAAAATTATTTATTAGAATTGATTTCAAATCTTATTATATAATGAAAACACTCAATTACATTTAATATTAAAATTAAAAAAAAATATTTCTAAAGTAATTGAAAAGCCTAAGAAAATCAGAATAAAATAATCAAATCAAAAAGATTCCTATGATACAATACAAATCAATAGTTAACAATCTTCATTTTATTCAACGAATTAGAAATTTGAAACTACGGCTTTTAAAAAAAATATATAGAGGGCGTAAAATGAGAGATTACATGGAATGCAGAATTACTTTTCCTTTCCTTTTATTTTTTTCTTGATTAGTTGAATTTTTTTTTAAGCAAAATAAAAATTTTTTATTGTTGTTTATCAAAATATCTTTTTGAGAATTTATTCTAATCAGTTTTTGTAATACATCTATTTTTTCTTTTCGTATTAATATTACACAAATATAAATTGACATTATTTTTATTATTTCATTTAGATAGCCCTTTTCATCCTTTTAATCCTTTTAATATAATTAAAATCAAATCTCTTTGAAGGTAAACAGCACTCTTGTACGTTCATGCACAGTATAAAGTTTCATAAGACCATGTATTTGTCTTCGAAATCGAATTACGAGGCATAGAAGTATTAAATTCATTTATTTATTTATTTATTATATAGCTTACAAGCCTAAACAAAATAAATTATTGTTTAATTCATAAAATATTAAATAATAAATCAAAAAATTAATGTTTAGGGAGAAAATTGTGTAACTCGATCAGCAATCCGATTGGATTTATAAAATTTTTTGATTAATTACTAAATTTAATTATAACCGTTACGTAACAGTAGGTTGTTTGTTACATTTATTTGTAAATTAATATTTAATATTTATTAGTCAAGTAGTAAAGTATTTTTTTTTTTAAAAAAAAAAAATTGTTCACATTTTACGTCTTCAAATTTATTTTTATCGTCGATTAAACTGTTACATAGGTCCCGAGTCAGGAATCATACTATATATCAGTGTTCCATTATTTTATTCCTAAACACTTCTTTTTCTTCATCAGAATATTTCTCATATTTAGCAACTATTTTATTCTCTAATGCACGATTTCTTAAATATAAATGTCTGCTGATGAATCGATAGAATGGATAGAAAATTGTATAAAAGAAAAGCACATAAGATATTACGAATACGATAAATTTATAAATATAAAAATAATAGGTAAAGGAGGATTTGGAAAAGTTTATAGAGCTAAATATGGTGAAAAATATTTTGCATTAAAATCATTTAATCCAGACAAGCTTACTGTTAAAGAGATTGTTAAAGAGGTATATAGTTGGGCAATTTTTATGTTAAATTAAAAATGTATATAATTTAATTTACTTTTTTTTTTTAGATGAAATTACATCGAGAAGTAGATTTTAATGATAATATAATACGTCTTTATGGAATAACTAAAATTCATTCAGGTAATAGACTCCTCTTCTACGACCATACGTAAAGACACTTCCTCCTTTTCGAAAGCTTAGATGCGTCTACTTATAATCCAATAAAAAAAAATTGTTAAATATCCTTATGCTAATATTGAATAAATTTTTTTTTATTTTTTTTTAGATAAAAAATATTTACTGGCGTTAGAATATGCAGATGAAGGTACACTTAATAAATATTTAAAAAAGAATTTTCAGATCCTTAATTGGCAAGATAAATACAAATTAGCGTTCCAATTATCAAGCGCAGTAGAATCTTTACATAATGAAGAAATTATACACAGAGATTTGCATTCAAACAATGTACTTATACATCAAGGTTCAATCAAATTAGCAGATTTTGGTTTAAGCAAGCATCTTAAAGAAAGTACTGGAGATAAGTCACAAATATTTGGTATAGTCCCATATTTTGATCCAAAAGGATTTGAAAGTGCGTCAAAAAAGTATAAATTGAATAAGAAAAGTGATGTTTATAGTGTTGGTGTATTATTATGGGAATTGTCGAGTGGGAAAAGTCCTTTTACTAGTGATGAATATGATGATGATGTATATGATGTATCTTTAGCTATTAAAATTTTTGGTGGATTAAGAGAAGATATCATTGAAGGTACACCTAAAGAATATTCTAACCTTTACACGAGTAAGTGAAATCTTTACAATAAATTCATAGTGTAAAATACATTTATTTAATCTAATTTAATTTTACTTAATTAATTAGAATGTTGGGATGGTGATCCAGATAAAAGGCCAATAATTCAAGATGTTGTTGAAACTTTGAAATCAATAATTTCACCGAAAAATACTCAAGAAACTATTACATCTATTGATCCGGAAACATGTGATAATAATATTCCTAGTAAAACACAATTAGATTCAAGTCATGTTACTACGACAGAATTGTCCAAGTTTATGAATGAGTTTCATGAAAGAAATTTAGAAAGTTTAGTAAGCAATGCTGATATTATTTTTGAATCAGAAGCAAAAGCAAATGAAGCAGCAGATCCAATAAATGTAATTATGAATAGAGAAAACGAGACAGTTGTAAGCCAAGCAGCTTTAAACGATGCAGTTGCACCTTTTATACCTCTTGTAATGAAGATAACTACTTTAACAAAGGAGATAGCGGACGCTTATGAGAATGTTCAATATAATAAAAAAACTTGTGGTGCATTATTAACTACAGTCGAAGATGTAGAATTTATGATTAGAGGATTGATAAGGCAAAAAGAGAAGAATATTGAGAAATTTTTCAGTCAAAATTATTACAATTCCTGTTATAAATTAATAAATTGTTTAAATCAAATTAAAAAATTTTTTAATGATATTTCCCAATTATCAGGATTTAAAAAATTTGTTTCAAGTAGTAATATTAAAGAAACCTTTGAGAAGATTATTAAAGACTTTGATAGTTGTTCAATTCATTTAAAATTGGCTAGATCCAATACAAATGAACAATTGATTTCAATTTTAAGTTCTGATATTATCGAAATGAAGAAATTTCTAGACAATATTGAAGGTGGTGTTACATATATGATGAATCATACCACCGTTTTACATGTTCAAAATAATAAAAAGATCTCCGTTAAAGTTAATAATATTGAAGAACAGAATGACAAAATTATTAAACAAAATAACGAACTCTTAGAATACAAGGCGGGCAAGGATAAATGTGAATTTAATTTTACTCCGCTTAACGGGGAAATGGATACGATCCGTTATCTGAATGAAACCAATAAAAATTTGAAATTTGAAACTGAATCTAATATTATTGGGCAAATTGAAGCTTCGAAATTGAAAGATGCCGCGGAACCCAATAGGCGTAAAGGTAGTAAGGTAATGGTTTTGAAAAAAATTTATGAACAAAAAGATGTTGCTTGTAAACACTTTTATACGGAAAAGATTAACCAAAGGCATCTCGCTATTTTGAGAAAATTGAAAGCTAGTCCATACATTATTCAATTTTATGGACTAGCAAAATTAGATATAGGTGATGTAATGGTTTTTGAATGGGCCGAATACGGAACTCTACGCGAATTATATCAGAAATATACTATTGAATGGGATGCAAAGGTCTCATTATCTATTATCCAACCCAACTAAATCTACCATACATTATTATTCATTAATACGCAAATATTATTAATAATTTCTATTATCACATGATCAAATCCAGTAAATGAATAAGACGAGTTAGTAAAGTATATATAAAAAAAATTACAATAAAAATAACCAAAACAAAGCAAATCCAATTCACAGAAAGTTTCATCAATCATCCATTAATTATTATCCAACCCAACTAAATCTACCATACATTATTATCTCATTAATACATAAATATTATTAATATTTATTATCACATGATCTAATCTAGTAATTGAATAAGATGAATTAGTAAAGCATATAAAAAAAAAGCAACAAAATATAACCAAGACAAAGCAAACCAGTTCATAAAAAATTTCATCAATCATTTCACAATCTATATAATATCCAACTAAACCAAATTTATCATATTATTGATATTTTTTTATTATGCATAGATGAGTTAGTAAAACATTTTTTAAAAAAAATACAATGAAAAATAATCAAGATAAAAGCAAACCTAATCCACAGAAAGTTTTATCAATCATCTCATAATTTATATATAGTAATACAAAAAGGGGGGTTCTAGGGTCAGAAATCCGAAAAGGTATTCAGAAACCTCTCAATCTTATTTTCAAAGTCTTCTAGCTATACGAATCCTCTATTGAATTTAAAGCTCTAGCCCAAATTTAAGCTTTTC